CAGGTAAGATTGTGCGTGTGTGTGTGTGTGTGTGCTGTCTCTTATACACATCTAGATGTGTATAAGAGACAGGCTTAATACCCTGCTGTGACGTTCTGACTACGTGATTGATGTATATAGCCTTGGGCACTGGGGGCCTAATTGAAGTCAAAGTCCGAATTTCCAAGGCGTGTTTTGTTGGAAATTGTTGAAATGCCCTTACGCGTTTGGGCATTTTGTCAGATACCCCTAACGGGCATGAGAACGGGGAAATGCCTCTACGACAGTAGCGAAATTGCAAAATACCCCACTTGGCAATTGGACCTGTCATATTTTGCATATACCCCTACCGGGCCCTGGACAAGTTGTCTATATGCCCCTGTACTATACGCCGGTGGACCCTGCAGATTGCAAAAGGGCCCCTGCAGCCCAGGGCCAGGGCATATGGAGAAGTTGCGGATGAGCGGGCAGGGGCAGATGCAGAAGTTTGGGGCATTTCAGCGTACCCCTGTGTTTTAGGGGTATCTAATGAAATACACAAACTTTTAGGGGTGTTTCAACAATTTTCTAAAAATAGAAAGGCGAAAAATAAAAACTGTATATGTGGTCTGCTCTGCAATGCAGTTTTCACATAACACAAACCTCATTCCTCTCTCTCTCTCTCTCTCTCTCTCTCTCTCTCTCTCTCTCTCTTTTTTCTTTTTTTTTTAAGGTGTGCATTATGTTCAAGCTGACAATCTGTGCATTATGTTCAATCTGACAATCTATACTTGTTGTTTACATTTTCCATAAAAGACAAAAAAAGCTGGAGATGTGGGCCCGGTTCTCGGCTATATACGACACCACGGGCCAAGTTAAAAAAACAGATCCAACACCAGGGGCCAAGTTAAAGAACAGAATCTAACACGAGGGGCCTTGTACCACTAGCGCCATTTCACTCGTTGAAATATTATGGCATAAATTCGTTTTCTACGAGTTAAAGTAAGCAAACTCCAGCTCAGGGTGTTCCCATCAGGCAGTGGGCGGAGAGCCATCAAATTCGTCTCCTCCTTTTCGGACAGGTGCTTCACTCAGCCAATGGGCTGGGTCATCTGAAGGTGACACAAGTGACAAGGTTCGAATAGTCTCATCATCATCAACGAAGAACCAATGTCAACATCCTACCTGGCGCTCGGCGCCCAGACTACAAATGGAAGATCCTATCTAGCCTATCTACAATGCCGCTGATGACGTCAACAGCTCCTGCGAAGTACGCGCAGATCTCGGCCAATGCCGTTCACCTCAAACGCCGGACAGGTGCTTCACTCAGCCAATGGCCTATGTCACATATGTCCCATACTGTACACGACTGTACATGAAGCAGACACAAACGTCACAAGATCCGGTGGGTAATGGCTAGTACTGCTTGAAAGCCTGAAAGAGCTCGGACCAAGGGCGACAACAGATCTGGTGGCATAATGTGCGTTGGGAAAAGTGCTTCAATGAGTCAAAGAAGACTCGTTGTGTGTGTGTTAGTTAAAGGCAAATTTGTTGTGTTTGGGGAGAGATGGTTAATGGAAGGCCCCAAATTCACGATGAGGGTTTTCGCGCATCACCACAAACAATGTCATTGAAAATTTCGCGAACAAACAACGCAGGCTCATAATGCAAACCAAAAAAAAAAAAAAAAAAAAAAACGACAAAAAAAGAAAAATCAAAGGCACTAAAGGCACTAAAAAAGTTAACAATAAAATAGAAAACCCTACTCGAAGTGGCTTTCGGGTTTCGCCAATTTTTTCTCCGAATTCGGTGTTCGGGTTTTGCCAATTTTTTCTCCGAACTCGGCGTTTTTTTGCCAACTTTTTCGTTTTTGGTCCAACTACGACAGAAGTCACAAAACTGAATATAGATATTCCCTACCATGGCAGTTTCGGCAGTTTCGGTGAAAAAATCACTGAAAAAAAATGACATCTCCTGTTATCTGCTAGTGTGCTTGGGAGGGGCAGGTTAGTC